ACCCTCGCGTCTTTCCCCGTCGGTCTTCCTACGCGGCTTCGCTAAGTGCAACGTGTGCATCAACCTGTCGTCGTCAAATCCGATATCGCGACCGGAAACTCCCTATCTTGTTTGAAAGCGGGAGAAAAAAAATTGAAAAATTATTCTTTCCGATCGAGACTTCGTGTAACTTTGTTCTACCATTAGTATCCCGATGTTCAAAAGAAAAAATGAACAATAAAAAAAAATGGAAGCATTTAAATTTTTTTTCGCGTTGGTAAGTTCGCGAAACTTTCGTGTCTGAAGCAGTGACGTTTCCGTTTTGAGTTCGTTGAGTCTGTTGCCCGACTGTGTGAAACTTCCTCACGCGCGTTAAGGCGCAAAAATATTGTGTATACGTGGCTCTATATAATGACAGCGATAATTTTGTCCCGTTTGAGTATACATAATTAGACCAACACGTCATAATGTGCGCGCTAACGTGTAGCCGCACATGGAGCGCACATAAGCTCGGTAAACTCCACCGATGTGGTATATTCATCAGGAAACTCGCGTCCAACAGTTTCTCATGCCAAGTTAAATTGTAACGAAGAACAGCCGCTTGTGTTGCAACCGCATTGACCGTCACATAAGCCTCGCTCGCATGTTACTTCTTCCGGGAATTCGGAAGTTCTTGTAGGACTACGTTTGATCGGGCCTTTATACCCGGCACTCGCTCATGTGGTGTTCTCGATTAGGCAGACCCTGATCGATCCCTTCATATTTATAGGAAATAAAACTAACGGGGGGGAAAAAAGACCATATTTACGTATGTAAATATATCTATGATTAAATAGCCAAGATTTGTCTTCTTTCTTTATTATTTTGCTATTCTTTTTTATATTCTGTTCTTGAAATTTATCGTTGTCTAGTCTAGCGATAAAATATCACTACAAAGTTCGAACGTTTTATCGCCGTGCAAATTACGAGAAATAGATGAAAAATCAATTAAGGATAGAAAGACCGGGAAAATGATTCTATTATCTTCCGTGAGACTCTTTTGTTCGGCGGGCAACGACACGATAATAATCCCCGAGGTGTAATCGTCCGGCGATGCACTAAAATCGTTGTAATACGATCTGTTGATCTGGCTCGTGTGTGTCCGCTTGCTCGCTCTCGAATTCGTACTTTACGATTTTCCGAGATCAGGCAGCTCGATGGCGGCTTCGATGTAGTTCGATGCGCCGCTGGATTTCGCCACCGGCACACCGATTCTCTTCTTTACGAGCCGACGAAGTACAAGCCGGCGTTCTCTCGCAGGCGGTATCTCGAATATCCGATGCGCGACACGATTTTATCGACGATATCTCGCGAGAGAGGGACACGGCGCTCGTGTTTTTTTTCCTCTCCTACGATCCGGAAAGATGTAAAAAGATCGCGGTGGGATAAATCGCGCGCGCGCGCGCGCGAGCGAACGAGACAGGTATTTCCGCGTTCCGCCGAACGTCCACGGCGTGTAGTTAA